AGAAATATATATTTATATTATTTTTTTTATACAATATCAATTCTCAATAAAAATGTGTTCAATTTATTAATCAATTTTATATATTAATTGGCGTTTTTGTTGTGTTTTGACGATTTTTGATATAATCAATTAACAAAACTCACTTTATAAAAATTCTTTGATAATTTTATTTATAGAATTTTAAATCAATAATGGCAGTGCTATACATATCTCTGAGGATGGTAAGTCGTGTAACAAACAGACTTTATCAACACAGACTTAAACATCTAAAAAGTGAAATGACGTGTTCCCATATTCAAAAATGGTAACTTGCTCAATATACATTTCAGACAGATGTAAAAGTGTAAACTTTCTATTTCTGTCATCCTCAGAAAATAATTGCCATCCTCAGAACTGTAAATCTGTTTAAAACACAAGTTAATATCAAAATGAAACAATCATATTAAAATATACACAATATGATTAACTTTGTTATTATAATAAATTTGAATAATTGCATAAATTACAAAGTTATTTATAAATTTGTTATTTTAAAAATGCATTTTTATTAAATCAGTGTTTTCGACTTTTTCAATTTTCATTTTGATTTGAAAAACAATTATCAATTTAAACGTAAATTTCAATTATTATGTTATAAAGAAGGATTCGAAAATAATTTCAATAAGTATATAATCATAATATGAACAAGTTCAATTTACACTTTGTTATTTCCCGTCTCAAGTTCGCGAGATATAATTATTGTTTTTGTTCACCGATTATTGTGGCGATTTTTTGATTGTATTTATTTTTTTGGCATTTATGACAAATTATTACCATTATTTAAAATTTAACTTTGATTCGTAATATTAAGTTTAAATTATAACTTGAGTTATGAAAATAGGTCTTATGGGGAACTGACCCTTATGGATTTTATTTTTGTATCCTCAGAAAAATATTTTTTAATAAGGATAGCTTTTATCCTGAGGATACACCTTATCCTCAAGAAACCCTTTAATAATATTTTTTTTTATTTTAAACAAATACATTTTTAAATTTTGTTTTTTATGATTCTTTGAATGAGCAGTTTTGGATTATAAACTATATTTGAAACAAAAAGTAGCTACCCCTTTTTAAGTTTTTGAATCGGTTTTATTTTCAGTTTTTGGTTGCGACAAAATCAGTCTCTGCATTATGATAAAACCCAACCAAAATATGGCAAAATCACCAGGTTGGTCATTCGGATTCTTGTTATAGTGTTAATTCTTCAATTTAATTTTCATGTTATTTTCAGATTATCATTATTTTCAAATACACAAAAAAATATAGAAATATAATAAAACTATTATAAATTATTATTATTAACAAATTTTTAGTATAATAATAATTATAAAATATAAATATCAAACATACAACCACTTGTGTGCGTTTTATTTTAATATTTAATTTTTTTGTATCGAACAACTTCATTTTATGTTTTTATTAATTTTAAGTGTGTATAATGATACATTTAAACTTTTTTAAAAATGAAATTTATGTATTTATAATATAAAATTAATTGATTATATATTCAAAAAGCAGTCAAATAGTTTTAAATGAAGCAATTTTGTAGGAATTTTTTAATAGTAAATTTTTCAATCAAAAATGGTTTAAAATTCAACAAAAGTTACAGGTTCAAAAAACTTTTATTTGAATGTAGTACATCATATAATTGGTCAATTGTGCAACAAACAAGCAAATTCGACATTTAATATTACAACAATTAGACATATTTAACTGAAAATATCATTTATAATTGTTTAATATAACAATCTATTTAATTTTACTATTAAAAATACAATACTCTGAAAGTTTCATTTCTAAATTTAAAATGTTTGAACTTAATTAAAAATATCAATTTAATAAAAGATTTTTATAGTTTTGTAATAAATTATAATTATATAAACTTAAAAGCGTCAATAAAAATCTTAATTATAAAGGATTTAATTAATTTATCAAATGTATTTTTAAATACTTACAGTATAAATACAGTGTTTAAAAAAGTCTATATAATGGTGACATTCATTGTGTTGATATTGTTGGCTGGCACGTTATCTTCTGAAATAAGAGTCGAGTGGTGTAAGTATACTGATAAAATTGTATGCGTTCCATTCAACAAAGGGTGTGGACCAAATTATCAATGGAGTTTATCAACAAATAGAATACAATTGCCCGTGATAAATGAAGGATTTATTATAGATTGCAAATTAAACACACAACTCGAAGTGACTATCAATTTTAAATTCAATTTTGTGTTGAATTTTGATAGAAATAATAATAAATACACATATTCCCAACAGTTTGACAAATTTACATTCATACAAGAAATATTAAACAATAAAAAGATTGTCAAGAACAAACACGAAGTTCTCAAAACGTCTTGTAACAATTGTAAACAGTGTGATTTATATAATAATTGCGAGAAATGCAATGATGGGTATTATTTATATAACAATTCGTGTTATACATGCGATTCATCGTGTCGTACTTGCAATGGTAAAAAACAAAACAGTTGTTTGTCGTGCCCGTTTTCGTATGGTGTTTCAAATGGATATTGTGTAAAATGTGATGCATCTTGTTTAGAATGTAATGGTTCTGGTCCAAACAATTGTATTTCATGTTTCAAAAATTATTATCTAACGTCTGGTTATTGTTCAAAGTGTGATTTAACTTGTAATGAATGCAATGGACCAAATGCCAACAATTGTATTTCGTGTAATCCTTATTATTATTACTCAAATGGGTATTGTTTAAAGTGTGGTTATTCATGTATTTTTTGTAATTTTACTAAACCTGAATATTGCTTATTCTGCGATTTAAATTTTTATAACTCAAATGGGTATTGTCTTAAATGTGATCAAAACTGTAATGGCTGTGGGGGAACTGCTGATAATTGCACACACTGTAATGACGGGTTTTATTTAAATAATGGGTCGTGTATCCAAGGTACTTTAAATTGTAAGAAATTTGAAAATTCTATATGTATTTCTTGTATACCGTATTATTATTTATCAGACAATGTTTGTAACAAATGTCATTCCGAATGTTATAATTGTAATGGCCCTGAAAAAACAAACTGTACTACGTGTCCAAATGGAAAATATGTCGATAAAACTCATGGGGAATATAATCACACATGTCAACCATGTATAGAAAACTGTAAAACTTGTGAAAACTCTATTAATTGTTATGAATGTGAAAATGGGTATTACTTATCTAATGGTGAGTGTGTTAAATTTGATAATGAATATTGTGCATCTATAAATAATAGTAAATGTATTTCTTGTGTTTTTGGATATTATTTGGATAAAAACGATTGTTTAAAGTGTCCCGATGTATGCATATCCTGCTTTGGACCAACAATCAATCAGTGTGAAAATTGCATTGATGGGATTATTTTACATCAAACACGTGCTTTCAATGTTCTTCGACGTGTCAAACATGCAAATACAATCCGACCATATGTACTTCTTGTGAGTCAGATTCAAGGTATTTGTGGAACAATGAGTGTATTGTTTGTAATAATTGTAACCCCGGGCATTGCATATCAAATATAACAAAGTGTGATTTGTGTATTGATGGATTTTATTCGGACAATGGGGTTTGTAAAACTTGTGATTCCAACTGTCTCACATGCACTGGTTCTCCTTCAAATTGTTTCACATGTAAGCCCGGGACTTACCTTTCAAATTCGACTTGTCTAACTTGTGATGCAAATTGTGAGACCTCTGGGTGTCACACGACTTTGGGGTGCACAAAATGTAAACCTGGTTACTTCCCAAAAAATCTTGGGTGCAGCCAATGCAGTGAAATCACAATTTGTATCATTTGCAGCCAAACTGAACAAAAGTGTTTGGCTTGTGCATCAGGTATTTCATATGTCAACTCAAGTGGATTGTGTTCGCCATGTGACTTAACTTGTGAAACTTGTAACACTGATGGAACGTGTAACGGGTGTAGTGATAATTATGTTCCATATGCAGTTAACAACGGATCATGTCAGGCGTGTTCTTCGTTTGACCCAAATTGTAATGTTTGTGGTGAAAATCAATACAGAAGATGCACAACTTGTACAGACAATTATTACTTGAACTCGAATGGCACTTGTTCTCAGTGTGATTCTTCTTGTGCAAATAATGGGTGTGACAAAAAGACTGGAATATGTGAAATGTGTGCAGTGGGTTTCACTAAACAGACAGCCGATTGTGTTCAATGTCAGTTGTGTACCTCGTATGATCCCGATTGTTCAACGTGTTCACAAACCACCAGAAAATGCACAAAATGTGTAACTGGAAAATACCCGAATCCATCATCACCGTTTTCTTGTATTGATTGTCACTCCACTTGTCATAATGGATGTTCAACAACAACGGGAAATTGCATGATTTGTACAAATGATCAATACACAATCAACCCATCAAACCCAAAACAGTGTCAGAGTTGCTCAAGATTTGATTCAAACTGTCTCAGCTGTTCAACAACGGTGCGACAATGTCTTTCCTGTCGAAGTGATGTTTCTTATTTGTCAAATGGAGTTTGTGTCTCATCTGATTCAACATGTTTAAAATGTGACTCAAATGGGTTATGTACCAAATGCGTTGATAACTACGTTTTTAATGAACCAAAGCAACAAAAGTGTATAATTTGTACATCATTTGATGCAAATTGTGAGACTTGCAGTTCAAGTAGTTCAAGAAATTGCACTAAATGCAAATTGGGTATGTACCCCGATATAACCACTGGAAAGTGTAAACCATGCGATAATTCATGTGGTGATAATTGCGACACAACAAATGGAATATGCACAAATTGTGCTTCTGGTAAAGTTTTTGATTATCCCAAAGGAAACAAATGTGTCGAGTGTTCGATTTTTGATGTCAATTGTGTAGAGTGTACATTAAACGGAGAAAGAGCGTGTTTGAAATGTCGTGAAAAAAATGGGTTTTATTTGCTGAATGGTATTTGTGTTGCATGTGATTCGACTTGTAAACTAAATACATGTGACTCAACAAATGGATTTTGTTCACAATGTTTTATAAATTACACAGTAACATCTCCAATTTCTAAAGTTTGTGTTAAATGTTCTGAATTTGACCCATACTGTTCAAAATGTGCAATTGATTATACAAGAAAATGTGAATTGTGTTTAAATGGAAAATATCCAAAACCATCAGAAAACTACAAGTGTGGTAATTGTGACCCCACATGTGTAGGTTCATGCAGTGGTGCTACAGGTGCCTGTACGGGTTGTTCATCAAATTACGTTTTTTCAATAACAAACAATTTAGTGTGTGATTCGTGCTCAACTTATGATCCAAACTGTCTGACATGTGATTCGACATATCAGAGAAAATGCGTAACATGTCGAACAAGTGGGATGTATCCAAGTGACTCGACATACAAATGTGTTTCATGTGATGCTACATGCAACGGAAAATGCGATCAAACAACAGGCAAGTGCAATGGTTGTATCAACAATTATGTGTTTGAAGCAACTAAGAGTCGTGTGTGTGTTACTTGCAAATCATATGATCAAAATTGCAAGACGTGTTCACCCGATTACAACAGAAAATGTGTTGAGTGTGAAAGTGGATTCTATCCAAATCAAAGTGGAGTTTGTGTTAGATGTGACACAACCATCACAAATTGTCGTATGTGTAGTTCAAGAGAAAATACATGCTTGTCGTGTCAAGACCCGTATTACCTCTTCAACCAAACGTGTTTGAGTTGTGCTTCTGGAACTTATAAAAACACCGAAACATTATGTGAAAAGTGTTTCATTGGCATCCCAAATTGTCAAGAGTGCTTAACCAAAACAGTTGGCATTCCTGTTTGCACCAAGTGTTATTGGCCATATGCATTTGCTTCACAAACCAATTTTTGTGGTTTGTGTGGTACAAACAAAAATTACAACACAACAACAAAGAAATGCGAAATTAACGAAAATGGTTGTTCGGCTGCTTTAAGTCAACAACAATGTTTAAGATGTTTAGATAGGTATTATTTGTCAAATAACATATGTGTACCAGCAACTAACTGTGTAAACAAATCAACTCTTTCGAAAGTATCTTGTGACTGTTCAGATCAAATATCAGTTGGATCAGACTGCCAAAGCACTCTATCAAAATGCAAATATCAGAAAAACAACAAAACCCAAAAGGAATGCATTCAATGTGAAGATAACAGTGTCGTTGTTGATAAGATTTGTCAAAACGTTATAAATGGATTAACTCGAAATAATGTTATTTATAAGTGTGAAAATGGCAATTATTTGAATGAAAATAATCTTTGTGTAAAATGTGAAAACAACTCTTCAATTTGCGTGAATTACAATTCAAACATAATAATTTTGTCGTGCTTAGTAAATATAGTATACAACTTGGAAACGATGAGTTGCATGGGTAATAACAACTGTTTAAAATACGGCAAAGATTATTGTTCACAGTGTGTTGATGTTAACATGGAACTCAAATATAGTAAATGTTCAGTGTGTTCAATACCAAATTGCAAATATTGTGAAGGTGGAAAGTGCAAAAAATGCAATGACAATTATGTTGTACAAACAAATGGATTATGTGTTGAACAGACTGAAGTTGGGTGTATCAAAGCCGATGGTCTTTTTTGTTCACAGTGTGACGAGGGGTTTTACTTGATTGACTTGCTTAACAATGAAGGGAAATACGATTTTTGTATTCCAATTACTATCACTCGAATAGCTGACTGTAAATACTCACTGATTTCACAATCGATATGTGTTGAATGTTTGGATTCTTTCAAACTAAAAAATGGGAATTGTTCAGAAATTTTTGATGATATTGATAACAAAGAAAATAATTCCACAAACACAAAACAAGATATGAAAAATGGTGAAACCTCGTGTTTCACTCGAACCAACAAAGGGTGTGAGAGATGTAATTCTGGTTACTATAACATTAACAGTGAATGTGAGTTGTGTTCTAATCATTGTGATCATTGTTACAACACAACGTATTGCTTGACATGCGATCCTCAGTATTATTTATCTTCCACCTTTACATGTGAACCACTTGGTGATTTATTTACAAAATGTGAATTGACACTGCCAACGGGCGGTGGATGTGCAATATGCAAAGACCACTATTACAAAAGAGAAACTGATTGCATTTCTTGTGATGAGTCGTGTGGTACTTGTGTTGATGGCACTTCTTGTTTGAGTTGTTAAAACGAGTATTTCAAACTATTTGGCAGTGAAAATAAATTATGTGTATCATATGACAACTTGACTAATTGTGTAACAAAAACGCAAATTGGATGTATAAGATGTGAAAATGGGTATTACTTGGATAATTACATTTGCAAAATTTGTTCTGAAAACTGCATTTCATGTGACAACTATCAAAATTGTAAAAGCTGTGTAGAAAACAATTATGTGTTGGTTGACTCGCAGTGTGTGGATTACAAAAGTGTTGAGTTTTGTTTGTCTGCGAACAGTTCAAAGTGCACAAAATGTGAGGGATTTCACAAACCAAGTGATGCTGGTGATTATTGTGTGAAAATGACAAATTATGGGTTGGTTGTTGGTGTGCCATTGTCGGTGACTTTTGTGATTATAGTGTTTATTGTTGCAATAATAGTAATAGTGATATCAATGATACAAAAGAAAAAACAAAAGAAGAAAGAGCAGAACATTTGCAACTTCAAGATGAGTCGGTCCAATATTGAGATGGTCAAATTAAGTGCAAATTTGGTGTCGAACAAGACAACACTGAAATTTGATTCAGAAAACAATGACCCACTCAAAGTTGACACAGAGACAAGAGATTTGATATGTATAGGAAATGTGTCCAACAGCAATTTGAAAGTGCAGTTCAGTGTGATGGAAGGGTGTGACTATTATGAAATACGAAGTGTGCCCCCACTTGTAACATTGAAGCCTGGATATGCATGTGAGTTTGAGATATATGTCAAGCCGTTGTGCACTTGTGAAATTAAAGAAAGTGTTGTAATTACTTCATTA